GAGGTGAGTGAAGCACATTATAAGAGACAATGTTTTGCCCTCTGACACTGCTGGTTCCTTTAGCTTTGACAGTTACTCATTATGAGAAACCAATTAAATTATGCTTTTTCAATTAATAATGATGAAAAGAATGGCAATGGATGAAAACTGAGAGTTAAACCAGCTTGTCCATCACAAGCAGCGTTTCAGAGGTATGCTACTGCAGAGCTTGCTGCAGCACCCTGCTCCTCACCTGCTTCCTTTCAAGGGCATTATATGGCACATTTTCCTAATGACATTCCAGTTTGATTAAAGAAAAAACAGCAGGCCAGGATTTCAGAATCTGAGTATGACATACTCTGAGAATTGCTATGTCTTCTCCATGTCTGTTGCTCTGTGTTCTTTGCTGCTTTTAATGCTTCCAGAAATAACTTGAAAGAGATACATAGCTTGATTACTGCCAACACGAGTAGTTATTGATCTAAATGGCTGCTTGAAAAGAAAGTATGATAGAGAAACCACGCTCTGCTATCCACATGTTAGACCTCCTGCCTTGTTTTGCTTGAGTAAATGACAAAAAGACATGTATTGTGGCATGGCAACAAAGAAAATCCTCTGCCTGCTTTAAAGTTATTGGCCACAGACACATATTTAAAAATGCCATTAAAAAATACATGAAACATTCGACTTTAAATATATTCTGCTAACTAAATCGGCTCATATCCTACCAAAGATCCCAAAAGCGGCTCCTAACCCTTTCACTGACCAGATGCCCTTGACAAAATGCGGAGCAGCCTTGTGGCCACTGAATTGCCATGGCTCTGCTGAAGATCCTTGTAAGTAGCCAGAGAAAACAGTAATTTTTTTTTGCTCCAGGTGTGTTTTCTGTTCCCCAGCACCATCCTGCAGGAGATGTTGAAGGAGACTGGGAGGTACCCTCTCTTCTCCCTGTTCCTCCAGGAGGAGTGGTACCACCATCCTGCCCACACCTTGGTCCTCACAGCAGCAGCACCAGGGCAGGAAGGGTGGCTGTAAAATGCCCTCATCCACTTCTCTTAGATCTCATCCTGTGTCCAATAATGAGAATGGTTTTAGTTGGAAACATCCCATATAGCTGCTATGTCTGTGCTATAGTTAAAGTCTAATCCTATGGCTATTTTCTATAGCTGATGTAGTTAGTTCCCTGGCTCTGATAATTTCCTTTCCTAGACTTTAATCAGATGTTGCATAGACAAATAGGTTTTGTGTGAGCAGTTGTGAGTTATTTTCCTTTTTGTTTATATGTGGGGTGGACTGCCGCAGAATATATATGGACTCAGTCAGAGATCAATATGATCAGACAAAAAGCCGTTTATTACAAAGCCTTAACCCCTTAAATACTGTTTCTTACATGCCCTTACAGTGATTTGGCATATTATGATTGGATGCATGTCTTGAAGACCCTTAGTGACTAACATATAATTGGTTAAGCACAGGTGTGACAACTTGACCTCGAAAGCTTGCCAACAGTCCACAGTTCTCATTAACTCGGTGAAATCCAGCTTCTTCTTATCTGCTTGTTTAGGCTTCCTCAGGCCTCTCATGGCCTTGCTGTATCTTTCAGGATTTTCAGAGTTTATGTACCAATTATCCATTCTCCTGTGACAACACTGTCTCCACAGTGGACTTTTTGTTTATATTTGTTTTTTAAAGGGGATTTTTGTGCTCTTTCTGTGTTTCGGTCTGTTGTGTGCTACTGGACTGGCACAACAGGGTGGGGGGATTTTTGCTGACAGTTTAAAATGTGTGTATAAATATATTTATTATGTTAGCTTTTACTAAAAGTGATTTCAGATTTCCAGCATGAATCTTTCAAATACGGACTTGCCCTGAGGTGATGGTTAGCTTTATGAATGTGTAGATAGAATAAAAACTTATTTGTCTTAGGGAGAATTTGAGACAAGATTGCAAAGCACTTTCTCTGATTTGTTTCAGAGGAAAACACAGTGCAGAATAAATACATATTTTCCAGCCAAAACCAGCACACAGAAGTAATATATTTGCATTTGTGATGAAAGGGTGCATTTAATTTGCTGTGAAATTACAGAAGTGTGAATTTTAAGCAGCAGCATGTGCTCTTGTAAAAGTAACGTAGAAGCTGATGGTATTTTGGAGTAAGGAAGAATCAGTCACAAAGTGATCGTTATTTTAATGACTGAAACTACTTCTCCAACCTACAGTAAAAATGAATAAAGCAAATGAACCTGAAAGTACCAAAGGAGTGTGAGCTTAATTGCCAAATGCCTTTTTACGTACCTGAAGAGCATTAAGGAGCAGCTAGTGCCTACTGTACATACATGGTGTACATATATATATACAAATAACATTTTAAATAACTCTGGACTTATATGTAGCAATATATTTCAACTTGCAAAGCTGAGCAGCTAGTCCAGTTTTCTTCCCACAGCAAGTGCTTGGAAATCTCTCTGCACTCAGGTTTACTGTCCACCAAGCCAAAGCAAGTTGGCACATGCTGCGGGTAGCTCAGCAGTGGCTAAAGCAGAGCTGTGTTGAAGTAAGCCATGGAGGTGTGAGTGTACCGATATGCCCCAAACACTACTTGCTTCCCTCAAGCTTTAAAAACTACCTGGAAATCTGATATATAAAAATATATTTAAAAATGTACATGGAAACAGTGCCATGGGGTTGGATCCAACTTCCACTGCTACAAAATGCAATGGCAGGAGAAGAAAGCTAAGACAAAAGAGAACAAGCATTTGCAAATAGCAAAATGGATACGTGTTTTTTTTTTTGTTTCTCCACCTGTGCTGTGAGCCCACTAGATGCAGTGTCTGGCCACAGGCTGGATTATTGATGTATCATGACTGGCACAAAGGTAACAAGGCATTCTGGTTCCTGGACTACTGGCTAAGTGAAATCATGTCCATTAGAACCCTCTGTATATAGCCCCAAGCTTCTTCAGAATTATCTTGCAAACACCTAAAACCAACTAATTTTTCTTGCTGCTGTAAAATGGTAGAGACTGTTGGACCTGTTAGCCATGGCTGGGGTAACCTGCACATGTCAGTATTGCAGGCAGGGCAGAAGCCAGACCTGTCTGAAAGCTTTGCAATCACATTCTTCAGTGTGGATTTGGAGAAGAAGGGGAAATAAACCCATGTGGGGCTTCCTCCATTACTTAGCCTGACTAGGAATCAGTAAACTCAGTAGGAAATCTACTTTGCAGACAGTTACAGAAATATTCTCTTTCATTGTGCAACTATGGTAATATGCAAAGATGTTTAGGATTAAAAGTTGTGATGTAGATAGTAGCTGGATCCTAGAAGTTGAGCAGCAGGTTTGCAGCCAGAAACCGGTGTTTTGGTTGTGCATCAGGTTAATATGGGTAGTCTGACCCTTCCCCCGTTATACTGTGTATAGTGCCCCACAGTGGTGTAGCAGAGGTTAGATTTGGTTTGCACAGGTCTTCACATTTCCACTCATGAACAGTTTTGACCATTATTTGTACTTCATTCTATACGCAGTACTTTATTGAATATACATTAGCTTGAATTATATTTATATATAATTGTGAAGGATTTATATGCTGCACATTGCATGCAGGCAGGGTGATTCTGCTGCTGTAGCACTCCTACACCTGCCTGTCTTCGCTGTGTATGTGGTGTATGCCTGCTATGCGCAAAACTGCCTTTTAAATAATTATTATCTTATTTATATAACATTGGTATTTTTGGAAAATGTAGACAGTTCAAGAAGGTGAGGGTGTATAAAGTACACCTCTCAGGCATATCTCAGGCATAAAGTTATGAACTTCAGGGTTTTCCTGGGTGAGCTTTTAACAGGGAAATGTTAAAAGCTTCACTGACAAATCCCAGCAGTGCAAAATTAGAGCCATTGAAAGCCTTGATTAATTATTATCATTGAGTAGTTAAGGTTGGAAAAGACCTGAAGATCATCTAGTTCCAACCGCCTGCCATGGGCAGGGATGCCTCGCCCTGGACCATGTCGCCCAAGGCTCTGTTCAGCCTGGCATTGAACGCCGCCAGGGATGGAGCATTTACCACTTCTTTGGGCAGCCTGTGCCAGTGCCTCACACCACCCTCACAGTAAAGAACTTCTTCCTTATATCTAACCTGAACTTCCCCTGTTTAAGTTTGAACCCATCACTCCTTGTCCTATCACTACAGTCCCTGATGAAGAGTCCCTCCCCAGCATCCTTATAGGCCCCCTTCAGATACTGGAAGGCTGCTATGAGGTCTCCACGCAGCCTTCTCTTCTCCAGCCTGAACAGCCCCAACTTCCTCAGCCTGTCTTCATACAGGAGGTGCTCCAGTCCCCTGATCATCCTCGTGGCCCTCCTCTGGGCTTGTTCCAACAGTTCCATGTCCTTTTTATGTTGAGGACACCAGAACTGCACACAATACTCCAGGTGGGGTTTCATGAGAGCAGAAAGAGTGGCAAGATCCCCTCCTTTGACCTGCTGGTCAAACTCCTTTTGATGCAGCCCAACACACTGGTGGTTTCTGGGCTGAAGCTAGCTCATGTTCATTTTCTCATCAACTAACACCCCCAAGTCCTTCTCTGCAGGGCTGTGGCTGGTTGGTCAGTTGGGTTTGGTTTTGACTTTTTGTTTTATTTTCCCAGCAGCTGTTCAAAGCTGTGGGTTTAGCTGTATTTTAACTGTATGTTAAGTATACAGAACAAACCTGAGTGGATGCAGGTCTAATCACACAATCACAGACTAGTTTGGGTTGGAAGGGACCTTAAAGCTCATCCAGTTCCAACCCCCTGCCATGGGCAGAGACACCTTCCACTAGACCAGTTTTCTCCAAGTCCTGTCCAAACTGGCCTTAATGTAGTCCCTAATCCAGATATTTTAAGTGGTGGGAAAATATGAGGCAGATGGATGGTAGGAAGCAGTCAGGTAATTGTATTTACAAACACTTTCAAATAACAATAATGTCTTCATATCTTTGTACAAGTTGTTATCTGTGAGATTAGATATGAACCCAAAACAGTAATCAGTTCCACAGTAGTTTTTAATAAGCAAAAATGTCAATAAATGTGAATAAAACAGTTTTTAGAAAAGTACAGAATAAAAGCAGAAAATATCTCTTCCCTCCTAACCACCAGTATAAAGCCCAAGATGTCTTGTTTTGAAGTTACAAACTGCAGTCTTCCTTCTATTGTTGTATGGAAAATATCACAGTGAAACACCGTAGTGCTGGTGTCTTACAGAATATAGGCGTTAACCTTTCCTCATCTTTTCCCCGTTTTATAGCAAAGGCAAAAAATACTTTTCTCATGTTTCCAAAATTAGTTATTAAACAAATTGCCATTAAAAGCCAGTATTGTTATGCCATGTCTTAATGCCATAACTTTGATAAAAACATTTCACTATAAAGGGGAATGGATTTGAATGCCCCACGCTAGGTCATGATCAAAGCCTTATTCAGTTTTATTTGTTTATTCGGCTGGGATATCTGTTGCCTGTCAATGATGAGTAGAAGCTATGGAAGTGTTTGCAGGCTGATGTTAGGGTATCACTTATGTGAGGTTTTACAATCCTATTGTTTTAGCCTCCTAGGAATAAACTAGTATATATTTGACTTTCAAGGAAGAGTTTGAAAATGGTTGAACAGAGCAGTTTTGAGGGTGGAGGTGTGGTTATCTTATTAGGCTCTCAGCACAGTGAGAGGCTGTCCTGTTAACTCACACCTATAGAGACAGTGACAAATAAAGTCAGGGACATATTGTTTTGTATAAAAACAAGTGAGGTTTAATAATTTCTCTTTGAATTTGGCATCTGAATACTGAAAAAAACACTCAACAAAAAACAAACCTACTACTTCAGCTGCAGCAATTCTTACATAGCGTCATCTCTCTTCAAAATACAACCAAAAGGAAAACATCCTGCAGACCAAGTCTATCAGAGGCATGCTCATGTTTTTGGTGTAACAAAAATGGGTCTGAGTTCAGTCACCACTTCTCTGTCAGGTACTGAGTCAATAACCACCTCTTGTGCTCTGTGGTTTATAGCTGCCAAGCAGTATCAGCATTCCTCCTCTTGAATTTACTCCAAAGTCTGTCTGCCCTGCAGATCTTAATTATGTCTGTGCACAGTGCCTGATGGGATTTCTGACCCTATCTGTGACCTCCATACTGAGATTTATTTGTATTCCTAATGCAGAGGAAAATTAATACGACACGTTCTCTGGTAGATCAATCATTTCTGAGCTTGTGGACTTTGAAATGTAGGAGCAATGATTTGTGGCTGTGATAGTCATCACATACACAGCAGGATATGCGGAATATAACATTTGTTGAATGAGATCTTGTATTAAAGTGGAGTTCTACCTAGAAAAGTGTGTATATGGAATTCATTCCACAGCAAAGGTTGTTAATTTTGATAATGAATTCTAGTTATGATTTATGCAATAAAGAATGCCTCTCTGAAATAAAGGAAGGTGCTGTTGATAACAAACCTTTAATAGATAACAATTTAAGCTCTTTTTTGATGCTGCCTTCCAAGCTTCCTGGGGAGGGCAGGTATATTTGTAGAGGCCACAGAAGGCATGGGGATACTCAGTCAGTCCAGTAAAGTGATAATCTTTCAAACCATTTTGTACACTGATTTTAAAAAGCAATTAAACTGGCAGAGGTAGCAATGCATTTTATGGATTCAGAGACATAGAAAAATCTTAAATTGTTATGAATGACAGGTTTCTTATGGAATTTAAAAATACACTTGTGTTGTTAGCGTCTGAAAACAAACTTTTGTTTTTTTTTAATTGTTTTTTGTCATTATTAAAGTTAGACAATCTACGTTTTGCTTATTCTAGTTAGAAGAAAGCTCAGTCCCTCTTCAGTACCCTTTTCCTTAGGAGCCGGAGTCTTGACATGACCACATCCCAGTCTGCATAGGCACCTTCTAGGTGACGAGTCACTTCTGAACCCGATGGGTAGCTTTGGCGACCATGAAGCACACGCCAGTTATCAAATGTCAGTATGTCTCCTGTAAAGAGATGTTTAATATTTGGTGTGTTACAGTTGATTCCTTCAGACAGATAACATGGAGATAGACTTCTATCATCAGTTAGGTAGCAATAATTTAAAGCAGCTCGGCTGGAGATACACAGCAATGACACAGTAATTTTAATTTAGCTGGTCATTCTCAACTAGAGAGAGGAGGTCGCTTTCAACCTCTGCTCCTTGTCTGGCATAACCAGGAGTGGTAGGGGAGTCCACTCTGAGAAAAGCAGGCCTTGAAGGGAAAGGCAACTGCAGCAAATCCACAGGAAAAAAAAAAGGGTGAAAGCTGATCTGGTATTAATTATCAGTCTGGTATTATTCATACTATACATATCCTTCATTGCTGTCCTCCTCAAGAGACCTCTGTGAGAACAAAGTCAAGCCATTGAAAGTTAGGAACTCACATCATGAAGGCGAGCATGCCATTTTAATTTTTCTCCCTTGTGTTCCACTGTTACGATAAATCTCCAGTTAAATATCCTTATAGTATGTCTTCCCTTCTCCCGCTCACCTCTACCACCATTTTGATGCATTAAATGATGGGGTAGATGGTACTAATGTAATGTGATGTACTTTTGTTTATTATTTATTATGTGATCTTATAAACTATCTCATGTTTGCAATACAGGAGATTTATTTCCTCATCAACATTTTAAAGACACTGTCATCGTAGTACATGAAGCAGTCAGATACACTAATGAATTTACTTTTGTAGCATCTTTTGAGAGATGAGGGACTATTCATATCTTTATTTTATAGCTGGGGAATGAAAGAACAGAGGTTAAGACCAAAGTAGTTAAATAGATGCACAGACTTTAAAGAGTAAGGGGCATTTTCACAGCATGTTTTATGTTCAAAACACAGCCCTGTACAACTAGAGCTGAAGTTTAGAGCACTAAACACATCTGCAAATCTGCCTCCAAATGTCTTGCATGAGCCACCCAGAAGAAGCAGCACAGCAGCAAAGGCCTTCAGTAATTCGTCCTGCATTAATTACACTGGCATTGGGTGGCTAAGCAAAGACAAAGACTGGTGCTGCTCAGCTTCCTTGGGCATTATGCACATTGTGCATCTGTAACATCCTCCAAATATTCTGCAGCTCCTGCAGCCATTGGGAAGGTGCCCCCGTTGGGAAGGTGCCCCACTAATGAAGTGTCATAACCACCACAACCACCTCCATCTCATTTGCCTTAATGTCCATACTCTGCATCAAGTGGAGCAGAGGAAAAAGCATGTGATTGTGTATCATTTAATGAACAGGCACCGAACTGGGGTGGCACAGCAGTCTTACACCTGGTATTTCCCATCTGTGGTACTACTGATATGGCAAGTTGCAATTTCCTATGGATATTGGTTTTTGATGTAATATAAAGATACATTGGACTCATCAATAGACAGACTGTCATGTCGTGTGTCCCCTCCCTTGGCTCTTTTTTTTCTTTTCCTTTATAGTGTAGCAATGGCAAAAGAAATCTGTGAGATGAATGTAAAGACACGGTATGAAATACCATGGGTACTGGAAGGACTGAAGTCTCCTCTCAGTACCAGTGCTAACAGTGCTCAAGTGTTTTGACTGCTAGGAAAAACATCTGCAGAATCATTGCAAGGAGAAGCAACTTACTGACCTGGTTTCAGCTTGTGAGTAAACTTGAGCTCTGCACTGTTTAATAAATCATTGAATTCCTTTAGAGCTGCATAAAATGGCCTCACTTTTTCAGCTGGTATGTCAAACACTGTGTCTCTTGTTGCATTATTATAATTGATGCGAACTGCTTGGCCTCTGGAATCCACACTAGGAAACAGAGAAGGAAAGGAAAAGGCGTGTATTATGCTACTGAAACACTTTAAGATGGTTAAACAACATCTGCACTCTCCTGCTGGAATTTCAGTATGTTTCTATAGTGAAATTCAGATTATTATTGCACTGGATTTTATAATTAAGCCTAATTAAGGATAATCAGCAGAAAATGTAGACATTTAATTAACTCAAAATTATATTTTCTATAATCTTTAATTGTAGAATCATAAGCTTTTTAAATTCAGAAGAGATTATAAACATTTGCATTTGGTCTTTTTCTAGCATATAGTTCTTAATCTAATTGCTTCAAAACCAAAACCACGTAAATCTCCCCACCCCCTCCCCCCCCCCCCCCCCCCGAAAATAACTACAGATCAAGTTAAACCAGTGTTTCCCCACAAGGTGGCAGGAGCAGACAAAACTCGCCGTACAAAAGGGATTTTATTTTCCCATGTTGAAACTGCTCACTCTATAATCCTTTGTTTACATTGCACAGCAAAATCACAGTAGTCCCTCCCAACATCTGTATAATCTACAGCAGTAGAGGACAGGATCTGATATGCCTGAGGATTTTGTTGCTTCAGCTTACTGCATGCATGAAATCCATCTACAACTTCAGTTTCACCTCCAGTGGCTGTTTGCTTTATACAGTGGAGAAACTGAACCTGGAAAAAATTAACATCTCATTATAAGCAAGAATTAGCTTGCATATTTAACAGTTCATTAGTATCAGTTTCTTTATATTTGTGGTTCTGGCTTTTTGGCTGAGTTTGCTTTTCGGTGAAAGACAGTTCCCATTGCTGCAGCTCCACTGCACTCTGCCACCACTATCACAAAGGCAGAAAATTAAAGCAGCATGTTCATAAATCCATCCCATGTGGCTTGTCTTCTAATGCTTGCAACCTGCGAGTCAACTGCAAACCTCTGTTCTCGCTTCTGTCCTTTGAGTCCCTCTTTGTGGCAGTCATGTAATTTTAAATGCAGTTTTATCTCAACAAGGAGGATTAGCTTTCTCTCGCAGAAACAAAACCTGCTGTGAATTATCTGCTCACAGCAGGGGAAAGGTGGCTGTCTTAGAGGGCAACAGGCCCAGTACCTCTATGATAAAATAGGATTAAGACAGTTTCATTTAATTTTGTAGTGAAATTGCCAAGGTGTAAGACAGAGCAGAAAGCCTAAATTGGGCTCTGGGTGGCATCACTGTAAATCTGAGTGAGCTACAGACACAAGCAGTAAAACTCCCAGTGGTGTTAGAAAGTCCAGCTCACACAAAGTGCAGCCGTTCATCTTGGCCAAACCGCACAAAACACATCTGTCCTACCAGTGGTAGCAGCTCCACCTTTCCTTTCCATAATGGTGAACAATTTCTGAGATGATTAGGAGAAAAAAAACCCAACTAAACAAACAACCCCCCCCCCCCCCCCCGAAAAGCAATAAAAACAGTACCCTTCCCCCGTCACCCAAGAAACCCAATACAAAACCAATCCAAAACAAACAAAGTGGGAGGAGAAAAAGGAGCAGAGAACAGGCTTCATCCCAGAATCACCTCACCAGCTAGACCTGCAGACCTTGGTGATGATGATGAAGGGGAAATTGAAATAACTGACAGCACAGAAGGAGGACTTGCTGGAAAGGACATATCTAGTTAAATCATGTGATGAAGCAGCATTCTGCCCTCCTGCCATGCTCCTTTTGGTCAACAAGCTTGGGGCATGGGGTCTCAGGGCTCCCACTGAAGAGAGCACATGGCAACAAGCACTTTTCTTTTGTGGCTTCAGCTGCCCTTGCATCGGAGGAGCACAGTTTGGCAGTGCTAAGGAGAGCTGCAGTAACGTACTTCATGGAAAATAACTCTGGAAAAGTTCAAAGGGATAATTAAGTTTACATTCTAGAGAGCTAATATTTGTGCTAGATCTAATCATCAGTTGTTTGTTGTTTTGATTTGGTTTTAATCAGGATCTCTCATGGAAAAATAGTTGCCAGATCAAAATCTAGGAAATCCTAAAACCATTTTTATGAGACAGTTCTGAAGGTAATCGTCATCCATTTAAAACCATTTCTTCAAATATTTCTAAGAAGTACATCTTAAGAGCTCAGAATAATGTTCAAAATAACTCAATGTACTTTAATACTTTTATTTCTTACAAGCACGTTTGAATGAGAAAGGTTATGCTCTTCTAATATTTCATAGCAGAGTGTGGGCTTTGGCACAGATAAGACAATGAGGTAATTCACATCTGCTCTCTATTAATAAAGCCCTGTTCTATTCTTACTTCACATTAATGAACCAGTATCTGAATGATTTTAAAAGGTGATGTTAGTGTGAAGTATTTGGTACTTGTGGATAAATCACATTGGCTTTTTGTTTAATTATAGAAACAACAGATACAAAGTATTCCACAAGACTAGAAGGGGAAGTTTTACAGATGCAGACTTTTCCAGGGTTATCTTTGTTCCTTTGTACCTGTTCCTACTCCTTTGCAGATTTACGATGAATGTGCATTAGACTTTAATACGACAGGGACTAGGTGAAAGCATATTGTCTGTGGTTGTTGTCCAGCTTTACAGAATGCCCCTTTTTTTGTCTGCTATGAAATGGCAAATAAATGTCTAATGTCAATCAATTCACAGAAAAGAGAATATAAAATCTTAATCATATGTCTTCTAATACAGTCCCCTCCTGAGGTGAACAGATGAATCCTGAAATGTCGCAATTTGACTATAGCATTTAGACAATTTTTTAAAATATAATGAAAACAGTATCAAAGGCACATATAGGACACTAGTGTTTTCTCATATGGTGGTAATCTCAATATTCCATGAATTTCATTTAAAAATTGTGGGATACATAGTGGTTTTGTTATGCAGAACTTGCACCATAATGTATATCGGATGGGGCTTTGAGCAGCCTGGTATAGTGGCGGCTGTCCCTGCCCGTGCCAGGAAGTTGGAATTGGATGAGCTTTAAGGTCCCTTCCAATCCAAATCATTTCATCATTCTATGATATAGTGCATACCCATGTGTATATAAATTGTTATATGATTAATATATTGTTATGTTTACATTGCTCTTTTAAGACAAAATTCAGAGTCACTGAACGCTAACCATATTTCATGCTATAGGAACATTTCCCTTTCCCTTTTGTGTTGTGAAGAAGTCGGTAGATTCGCCTTACCCCAGGTGGATGCTGCAGAACAGGGTAATCAGTGTGAAAACATAGTTTCCCAGTTGTATAAGCTACATTGTTAGCAGCTGCTTTGTCTTGCACTTGCCAAGTTGGTCTTTATAATGAAAGGGAAAAGAGATAACAGGTTAAAACAGCCAGCCAACATGCCAGACAGTACACACTGAGACTGTAAAATCACAGTATAAAAGAGTCATTACACCTCTGAACATGAAAATATTGTACAACTAGAAAGAAACAATCATTTAGCAGTGTTCCCCCATTCCATCAGAGAAGGCTTATTTCGACAGTCCTAGGTTCAAGCTAGAAACCTAAGTGTGCCAAGAGACATCTGGCCCCAGTGTAGTATCTAGAAGAATGATGGCTTTCTACTGGCAGTACTTTGCTGAATGCAGGAATCAGCTGAAGACTCTAACCAAAAGGTCTGTCTGCTAGGTTAAATCACCATCTTATTACTGATACTTCAGAAATAAGAGAGTGGAAGTTGGCCCATTTCCTTTAATTAATGTTCCATTTTTCCCTGCCATGTGGAGCAATTTATCAATGAAATATGAAATTGTAAAAGGCTACGTAAATTTTTTTTTTAATATTTTAAAAGCTTTATATATCTATTTATGTATACATATACAGAGAGAGACAGACTGTCCTTTGCAGGGGGATATTTCCTGTAGTTTCAAGACTTGCCGCTAAAGGAAAAAGAACTTCATAGAAATCGTAGAATCCCAGCCTGGTTTGGGTTGGAAAGGACCTTACAGCTTATCCAGTTCCAGCCCCCTGTCACAGACAGGGACACCTTCCACTAGACCAGGTTGCTCCAAGCTCTATCCAACCTGGCCTTGAACACTGCCAGGGATGGGGCAGCCACAGCTTCTCTGGGTAACCTGTGCCAGGGCCTCAGCACCCTCACGGGGAAGAACTTCTTCCCAATATATAATCCAGGCCTTGTCAGTTTAAAGTCATTCCCCCTTATCCTGTCACTACAGGCCCTTGTCAGAAGTATTGATGAAAAAGTGTTAATGAAAGACTTTGTAGTTTCTTCTCTTTCTCTGACGCTCTTTCAAAGAACTACCCCCCTTTATTTTGTTACGTAGCTTCTGTCTTGAAATTTGACCAAATCAATTAAGACAGTTTACTGACAACTACAGGGGAAACAAACAAAAAAAAGTCTTAGTTTTATGACAAAAACATGAATACGTTGCATTGTAGTGCAATCAAAATCTGTTTTGAATGACAACCCTGCAGGAGAATATAAGACCAAGAAACATTTGTTTTGCTTGTACAGAGTTCACATGATTGAAGACAGTCTTCAGCAGATGCATGTTATAGGTACAGACATTTGTCTGGAAAAGTGTAAGTCACCATATGCAGCCCATGTCATCACAGGAGAATAGTGATTTAAAAGAAAATACAGAGCTATAGACCAAATATATTATGTTTTGGATGGTGTGTGTCTAGCATGACTTCTAAACAATAGTTTAGGAAGAAAATAGGCTAAAGAACATTCAGACCAAAATGATTTTATGCAATACAGAAACACTTTTGTTCTTGGAGTTCTATTTAGTATAGAAACAATGCAATATGCTAAAACTAATTTTTTTAAATTGCCAGGGGAAAAATAACATTGAATATTTGCAGATATGTTTTACTGACTGGGAAAAAGAATTTGTATTATTTGGTACAGCACATACTCATCAGTACATGACATCAGTACTCAGGCATGATAATTTCAACCACACTTCCATAGTACCCTATTTTACAGCCAAAGCCCAGCCGGCTATATCATCCTTGTTATTAGTGTTGAAGGCAGCTAAATTCACTATATCTTTAATTTAAAAGGCTCCAGTGTAACTTGATGGATCTAAAACAAATTAACACATTTTAATTGTCCCATTTATATGCAATTTATGCAATTGCTAGAATGGTAGTACTTTATAATATCACTGTCAGGTTTTGCAAAAGCAATCAGTACTTTCATGCTGTTACTCTTTGCGAGAGGAGCTGGTCCCTGGTGGCTTTCCTTAAACACAAGGAGTTTTGGACAAAGCTCAAGTTACTGACTTGAAGTTAGAGATGTTAATAGGGAGCTCAGCACTGAATGTGAAAAAAATCAACCCGTCTTTGTCAGACTCAGCTCTCCCTCAGTCATGGGCAGAGCACACAAGAAGTAATGGAAGTAAAGAAGGAAGAAAATGTGGTTAACGTCAGAGGACTCTTGGCCCTTCGAGAGAGCAAAGTGGGGTAGAATGGTTTATGGTTTAGTAATTAGGGTCAGAGTCCAACAGCAGTTGCTTAGGCTGATTGACAGAGGAGAAAATTTGGCACCAGGTAGGTGTAGTAATTTTTTGCGTTAAGTGGCAACGCGGAATCAGTCTCCCTGAGCAGAACACTGGTCTGCTTGGTACATCCTTAGCCTTGAGCACCACTGCGCTAGAAACTTGAGTCACATGTGAGTCATCTGATCTTGCATGTTATTAAAAATCTAAGTCTCATTCATAAGAGACTCAGATTTCGGGACCCATGTTCTCCTCTTGCAGCTGAAACACTTTGAGAGGTGCAGATGTTTCAGCTATTTCAGTGGGGGTGCTGCACCCCAAAAGAAGCCCTTCATGCCACTCCAAGCCCTGGAGAGAGCTTCAGAACAGGGCAGGAGCACAAGGTCTAGGGCATGAGAAGTTAGAGAAATTAATTGTGATACAGCTGGAGATCTTGTTAACAGAGTTGTGCCTCTGTAACATAAAGAAAAAGGTTAATTTAAATCATGGAACCCGTTGTGGTGTTATATGGCTGAAACAGAGAATGTTTCCACTTTTTACAGTAATGAAATTTTAGGTAGCATGTACCAAACAGGCATTTAGGCAGGAAAAATGTCTTTTGTTTTCCCATGTGTCAGGGTTATATTCATGGCTGTTACATTTCAGCTTAAAATTCATGGTCCTGTTGAGGTGATGTTTTATTTGGCAAGCTTGCCAATTCCAAATGTATCCTTTTATTTGTCCTTTTATTTTTTTTTTAATCCTTTTTGGTTAGCCTTGTGTTTGGCTGCTAGAGGAACAGCAAGGGAATTACCTAGAGTTATTATTTATTACAGTTGTAAAAACCACCTCAGAGTTGGATGTAAGAAATGCATTTCTGTTTTAGAGGTGAAGAGATGGACTGTAAAATGCTGCTCTAAGTCTGTTGTTAAGACTGAAACCTCAGTGGAGTTTTGCTACTGTGAGAAATGTAAAACCAAGACCAGGCACTATAATAACTAAAACTGAAAATGAAACAGGTTAAATCAGGAAAAAAGAAAGAAGTCTTTTCTTCTTGCTAAAATTTTTAGGCTGGGTTCCAGCTATAAATGGTGAAAAAAATAAGCATTTTTTTCCTTATAAAAGACTTACCCTCTCCAAATATCCAAAAACAAAGCAAAACCATTAAAGGCTTTTTCAAGACTTCATGTAATGAATTACACATTTAACAGCACTGGTTTGTTAAGCTGTTTGAATACATTTCTCTAAGTGATTTCTGATATGTTTAGCATGTTACCACTTCATACACATTTGTGCTCAAACATTTGAAGCTAGTTTTGTGACTTTTATTTTTTAAAAAATACTTTATGGATGGTTGCTTGAACCACTACACATAACAACACAAAGTTTATGCACCATCCTGCTTGTATTTTCCAGTATTTTAGGATTTCCTCCCTCTTTCTTTTCCCAGGGTCTAAAGAGTCATGCAAGCAGACGATATTAGCAAGATGTTTCCCATAGACTTCATCCAAGGCCAGGAGACCTCAAGGGCACTGGTAGGCAGTGTTCTTCTAAGGACTCAAGAAAGCTTTCTGTCAAGGCTCATCTATTGATTTATGAAACTCATCTTGTACGTCTCCTTGACAGGATAACAGTGCTGTGCAGTTCTGGCAGCTTGAATAGGTGTGCCTTTGTATAGTCTTAACAAAAGCATCCTTGCAGTGCATCTTGGAGACAGCTAAACGATGTCTGAACTGGAGATGCAAAAGCCAAGATGTAAAGAATATCACACTTGCCCCAAATAAGCTCATAGGTCTGGCTCCAAACTTCAAAGCAGGCTGCCTTTGTATGTACAGTTAATTTCTCTCCTTGCAAGTTAGCAAGGTAGTCTGAAAAAGACTGTTCTGGTTCCTTCCCCAAAAGTCTTGGCTCTGCTAATACGTGCATTGTATTGTACACATCCTATCCCTTTTATAACTGCTCTTCCTTTAGCACCGGCAGAGACACTCTTGTTTTCAGATCTGGACCTTGGCCTGTACATAGCTTGTTGACTTCACCCTGTGGCAGAGCCAGTTTTTGTTACTTGAAATCCAGACTAGTCTGCAAAACTGGTCTTTAGATGTCAGGCTCTCTTTGTTCTTAAGCTCTTCAGATTTTAATTTAATATTGCAAAATCAACCTAATCATACATGGAAACATAATTAGCAACTGTCAAAAGACCTAGAGTACATCTAACCATGGTGACTTAATAGGGATGATGTAAACCAGACTTCAAGACTTTCCAAAACTACAGCTGTGTTTAAAAAGCAAAAAAGAAAAAAAACCCGAACTCAACTAACCTAAATATTCCTACTAAGTATATTTTCTTTTAAACACAGAATTCACAGGCAATTGGAAAACTTCCACAACATTGAAGCCCGCTTTCTGCAGCCTAATAAATATATGAACTAGCAAATAGGTTTTGGAAAAACAAGGAGACTTGCAGCCTTTCATCATTCATTTATTGTGAACCCTAATAGTTAAGGAAACATAAAATTAAGGTTTAATCAACATCAAGAGTAAAGCTGATTTAAACAGTGAAATGAGCCCTAACCATTACTTGCTCAAATGATTTAGGCCAAGGTCACATTTCAACCTTGACCTTGTATGAAACATTAACGGACAGAGGCTCTTTGTAGGATATAAAGACTTTTCAATGTATATGTGTATATACAGATATCAAGACTCAGAACTCATCCTGACAAATTACTTCTATTGAAAACATCTATTAAGAGATTAAACATTCATTCAAGCTGACTTCAAACAAGGTGAAGTATTTATTAATCATTCCTATTTATAATTGTGCTAGGGAAGAGGCAGTGAGGGGCAAGAGTAACTTTTTTTCAATTGGAAAATATCCCATTTTGAAGTCTCCCTAGGACAGCCTTGGGAGCTGAACTTAGATTAGGAAAGTGTGTGCTAACAGTTTATGTGCATTTATACAGTAAAGGACTTTTCAGTCTCTCTTAAACATAGCAGAGTTATCACAAGCTGGATGTTGCAGACAGCTTCTAACAGACACTTGGCAGTCATTTTAAACAGCGAGGATGATGAAGGGCTGAGGCAGAGTACCAGGCAGAATGTAGATTTTGTGTTAATCTTACAATGCTGCTGAGTTAAATAGCAAAACCTTTTGAATACCTTATTGAAAAGCAAGTTACAGCACTCAGCAGATGGACAATAGGTGTAACACAGTGGGCTGCCACATCGAGAAAGTTAGTCTAGAAGATTTAAAGATCTTTTCCAGTTTTAGGATTGAGGAACTTCTTTTAGATTGAGCTCCTCATCCCTGAAACCCAAGCAAACAACTAAAGGTTTTGTTGTAACCCAAGCACAAACCTGTGGTATGTGTTGAAGGGGCTGTATGGGGGGTTTTGGTTGTTATTTAGGTTTTGGGGGTTTTTCCCTCTCCCTTGAGCTATTATGGAGATGTATAGTATTTTTGTTTAGTGGTATGCTTCAACAAAGAACCAACATTTTTTCATCTTATCTGGGGTTTGCTATATTTGTTCCTAATTCAAAATGCTTGTGCAGCTGTTTGGGTACAAACAGGACAAATGTTTCACCCTTCAGGTATTTAGGAAAGCTGTGAAACATCCTCAGATATGGTCAGGATTGGTTACCCCTAAGAATCATCTTGTATCTGTAATTAGGATCACATCAAAACAGAAATTGAAAGCAGCAGTGTTTTCATAATGATGCAAGTTTTAAATTGAGACCATAGTAGATTGCCAAAGGCAGAAGTGCTTGACATTAGGAATGCTTTTAGTGGTAGAAAATGTTGTGTAGCACTGGATGAGGTTTCTGAGTTGAGCAGGGGACTCTGCTCCCATCATTAACATGATTGAATCCCAGTTGACTTTTCCTTCTGGCACAGTAAGCAGAAAGAAGAAGCCACACCTTAATAAAAATACATTATCTTAACTAGCCTGGTACATTTATAGATTACTCAAGCATCCTAACTTGAAGAAGGGACCTTTTTTATCACCTTCCTCCCCTTCACCTCACAATTAACATTCTGAGTTAATGTAATTTTCCTGGTACCACAGTGCGCTTTTACCACCCTCACCTGCATCGCATATTGCAGCAGGGCCCATATATGCCTTCTCACAGGAGTTTTAAGGGGAGAAAATCTTTCCTCCTAACTTGAGGGAATGTGGTCTTTCTGGCAAAGGGTGAAGGTTTTTCACCCACTTCTGTTTGTTTAACTGTTGGCTTTTGGGTTTCAGACAAAGGAGGAGACACTGGTTATGTGAATAAGGAAACATAGTTTGTTTCCTTATTCACATAACCAGTGTGAAACCAGTGTTTGTGAAACAAACATAGTTTGTTTCCTTATTCTCTGAACTAGAGGTAAATCCAGTTTGCCATCTTTTATTCTATTATAGGGGAGAAGGGACCTTTTCATATCTGAAATCATGAATGTTCTGGGTCTGCTAGCTCTTCAGGCATCAAGGAATTGCAATTATGTTTAAATGTTCTATCTAGTTTGTTTAAGTGTTACTGGCCATTTTTATAACTTTCTTTTTCTCTTTTTCGGGACAAAGCGCACATCCAAGTAATCAGGTTTTTTTATATACACTGTAAAAAATCATCCCAAAAGCTGGGGGTGAGAGGCAGGGCAATATGTCAGCTAGTAACACTGCTCCTTCACTTAGCTACATGGAGGTCGCTGACTTAGCTCAGCAAGACCTGAGCTACCATGGTCATTTTTTTACTCAGGTAGTAGATTCTTGAGGAAGTGAGGTTCAGTTTACCACCTCTTAGCATCAGAAGGATGATTTACAAGTTCCTCCTTGCTCTCCTGCAGGCTGAGCAATTACTTCTGGATAAAAAGCAGTCTTAAAAATGCATGCTGGGACTGGCTGGGGCTTTCCAGAGCAGACTCAGTTGGAAGCAGGGAATGGGTACCCTGCCCACCTCCTCAGTGATGGGAGGCTCAATAACATCATCTGTGTCTTACCTATTTCCATTACTTGAAATCAGGCTAAGAAGAAGTTTCAGTACAGATAACTTCCTTTTTTCAAAAGGGCACTGGATTAAGGGATTTTTGATTTTGTTCCATGGTATAGATAAGTACTGCTATCTTGTCATTATCTTTTATTTGACATCATCTCTTTTTAGGCATTTTTCCTTCTCTCAGAAGTTATAGTTGTTGTTCTTTATATACCCTGCCTGTCACAGCAAAACAATCTTCTCATACAGACCCTTGACACCACATTTTGTAATATGCAGAGAAAAAAAAAAAAAATCAGCTTTTCTTAATTTAAGCCACAAAACAGGTCCAGCAAGCTGAAGTGAAGGACATTAAAGGTGGTTACATAGCCAGCAAAGCAGGGATATTAGAAAAAACAAACTCACCCATAAAAAGTGAGACGCAGAAACCCAATCCTGTGGCCAAGTTTAATCAACTCGCCCTGTCTAGCAGCAGCTCCTGTTAGTATCACGATTCCTACTTTCTTTAAGGTGCACAGCCACCTGTAGGCACTTTCATCATTGTATATGATTTCTTCAAAAGGCATTTTGGGAAGTTGCAGGTCGGAGCCCCAGTACTGATGCTCTGAAAGGGAAGAAATAGAGAAGCAAGTGCTTAGCTATTGTAGCATCACAGCTCAGGACATAGCTGAGGTATGAAGTTAATGGGATTTGTATGCGTTTGTGAATATGCCCTCAATCCTGCAGTCAACCACCTGAAACTGGGTCCCTAAGTCTGCATGGATGACAAGAAAGATTTTGATATGGGGATAGACTCCACAACTCGTTAAAGTTGTAAAGTAGGTATGCTTTTATTCAGCGCTGAGATGCATGGGGGATAGCTCCTCCAAAGGCATGCGTGCCTGTGTTGTTTCCCTCTACATTTATTCTCTAAAGTTATAGATATTCATAAGGTTGCACAATACGCCTTTGCATATTGATGTCTTATCCTATCCTCTCCTGCGCAGTGCCCCCCCCATGTCATGGGCGAGGGTCTCAAGATGAAGTAAATGAGTCTTCCTCTTGTGAGTAGGGGTCTTCAAGGTGAAGTAAATGAGTCTTTCTGGAGCCTGAACTTTTCACCTCTAGCAGTCACGCATGCTCTTTAGGAGTCTGGTCAAAGTCCAAACCACAAAGCTGGTCTTCACTGGAACTAAGTAACTGTTCCTCCCCCTTATCAGTCTGTTTCTTCCCCTTATCAGACTGTTTCTCCCCCTTACCAATAGCTTATTGCCCTGGTACTACATGGCAAGCTTGACAGGTATTTGCAAACAATACTTTCTGTTAAACAGGCAAAATTCCTTTATCCCCTCTTGCACAACCCCCTTGTAGAAACCCCTTGTACCACCCCCTTGTACAACCCCCCTGTACATCAAGTGGAGATGTCAAGACTGGGATTTTTGCTCTTTCATATGATCTTGACTGCAAAAGTAAGAAGGAATTCATGTCTGTGAGTCTGATGAAAAGTGGGTTGTCTTAGCCTGTGTTGGAGGCATTCTCAGTTCCAGTGTGAGCCATAGGAATAGCCATAGGAATAGCTAGGCAGTCTCTTCATGCTTACCCAAAAATAGGTTTTCACTTCCTGCCTCCTTTCTGTCCCAGGGCAGAAATCCCATGTCTTTCACTTCATTCTTTCCTGTATCAGGCAACATTCACATTTCTCCAGATGAGATAGATACTGACACAAAAAGATGAAGAACTTCTTAGAACTTGCCTCTTACTGTTCTTCATTTTCAGGACTCCAGATAGCTCATGGCAAATGATAAGGAGATGCGCGCACTGCAGCCAGGAGAGCAGCACAGGCAACGTGTTCCCCAGCCAATGCCTTGCCAGCTCCTGTGGCAGAGGTGTTTGGACGCTGGATCAGGGAGAAGCAGTGTCAAACAGGAGAGCAGCCCTTCAGCTGACAGTGCTGCTGGAGCCCTCCTTTCAGCAAAGTCTCAAGATAAGGCAGCGGCTGCTCTCTGCTTCTTGTGATCTACAACAGCAGATGGCAGCTGATGAGGAAAAGCCTGTGGGATTATTCGTGAGGTACTTTGTCCCTTGCACCATAAGAGCTGTACAAAGCCCAGTGCCAAGTCCAAGTCATAATCACTAACCCAGCATATCCACTCCCTGCTGCATTATACTCATGGCTGATTTAGGACAAGCGTGTTAAAGGCTGATTGTTATGGTGATGATTAAAGGCTAAACCTCAGCAATGTGTACTTGTCCTGGGTTCAGCAGTAGCAGTCATGTTTTTTCCTTTGTGTTAGCTGGTGCAGTGCTGTGTTTTGACTTCTAGTTTTGAGAACAGCGTTGGTGAAGCCGATGTTTTCGGTTGTTGCTAAGTGATGTTTACCCTGACCAAGGACTCTGTGAGGCTCATGCTCTGCCAGGGAGGAGGGGAAGCTGTGAGGAAGCAGAGACGGGGCGCCTGACCCGGGCTAGCCGGGGAGGTATTCCATACCACAGCACGTCATGCCCGGGGTGGGGGGTAACTGGGAGTTACCCGGAAGGACAGGAGCTTCCGGGTGGAACTCGTTTTCTTGGCCGGTGGTATCGTATTCTCTTCCCTTGTTATTTTCCCTTATCATTGTTTTAGCTGATAGTAGCGGTGGTGATTTGTTGCTGGACTGTTCTTGTCTCAACCCGTAGGAGTTGCACTCTCTCGATCCTCCTCCCCGTTCCTCCGGGAGCGGGGAAGGGGAGAGCCCCGGTGCAGGGAGGGGGGGGGAGACGAACACGGACCTTGATTGTTGTCAGCTTGGCACCACTCACTGGGAGTGAGTGAACAAGTTACCTGACTGGGTTTAAACCACGACAGTTCTTTTTGGCGCCCAACGTGGGGCACGAGGGGTTGAGATAAGAACAGATCTGACTGGATTGATAGTCACTCGTCACAATGCTGATTTATTGGCTCTCAAGGTTTTTCCTCTTGATCTCACAGTTTCAGTATACCATATCTTACGTCCATCCGGTATTGGCTGTATTAGTGTTTTTCAAGTGTGGGGCTTGGGCTAAGGTTTTTATCCCATTGTACTTTATGGTAATGACTTGTAATACAATAGAATCATTGATCATGAAACTGATCTGGCTTATGTTCCCAGTGTGGTCACCACCTTTATACTTTGGGAGGTATATGATGGAGGTGCTTAGCAATTACACATCTTTTTTCTCCTTCTCAGGTGCTCAACCTGTGAAGGAGACATCCTTTTACCCTCCTAGTCGTCCCCCCAGACCATTTACATTTGAGAGTTTCGAATTTTTTAAATGGCCTTTTAATGCTCTTGAGACTTGTTTGCTGATGGTGATGGGAATCACCATGCTAACACGCATACAGAGTGTGTTTTGCCCACTACTGATTTCAAGAGTTAAGCAGATTCAGGTTTGGGTCTTGTCTGGGGTCAAACGACGATGTAGGAGGACCGAGAGATTTTCCCAGAGGCTGGACAGCCATGAGTGGCAGGGTGTGTGGGATAGTATGGGCAAGTATCTAGGTCAGTGGGCCCCCCCAGTATTTTGGAATTTCACTACCGAACAACTGCAAAATCCAGAAGAATTAGTAAAACACTTAAATGAGGTGTGTGGTCATTCTGGCCATACCAGAGATGGACAAATCACGGCAACGTGCTGGGGCTTGGCCTATGCTTACAGGGCCTTGTTCAACACTATCCAGCACCTTCAAAAGGAAAAGAATGTCGGCGGATTTGAGGGCAAAGCGACAGTCGCTACTCAAACTTTGGCTGCAATGAACTGCGCAGCTACCCCAGTGGCAAGTACAGCAGCTGCTCAAACTTCAACTGCAACAGACAGCGCGGTTACCCCAGCTCCAAGCACGGTAGCTACACCACCCCCAGCAACAAGTACAGTCGCTACTCAAACCACAGTGATAATCACTGCAGCCAAACCAGAGGACCAATTCGTACCAATATCGGTTGCCCCTGTACGCAAGAGAACAAGCAAAAAGGAGGCAAAAAGGGTGAAGCGAGATGAAGAACCAATGAATTCACCACCCGGTCCAGAATCTGATCAGGAGTCATCCTCACATGACGAAGAAGAAGAAGAAGAGGTAACTTCTCGACCTCGGACCTCAACCGAGCTGCGGAATATGCGAAAAGATTTTACCCGTCAACCAGGGGAGCACATCATCACCTGGTTACTCCGATGCTGGGACAATGGGGCCGATGGTCACGAACTAGAAGGTACAGAAGCCAAGCAGCTGGGATCACTTGCTAGAGAAGGGGGAATTGACAAAGCAATTGCAAGAGAGAAAAAGTCCCTCAGCCTTTGGAGGAGGCTCTTGGCAGCTGTGAAAGAAAGGTTTCCGTACAAGGACGATGTTACGAGTCGTTCGGCCAAGTGGACTACTATAGACAAAGGCATCCAGTCTCTGAGGGAATCGGCCATCGTAGAGATGATCTATCACATCAAGCCGAATAACGGGGATACACCTATAGATCCAGATGAAGTTGAATGTACACGACCCATGTGGCGAAAACTTACACGGAATGCACCGTCATCATATGCCCATTCATTGGCAACAGTGACCTGGAATGACATAGTACCACTAACAGTGGATGAAATGGTTCATAAACTCCGAGAGTTCGAAGACAATCTCACTCCTTCCATCATCTCAGCTGTGAAAAAACTGTCCCAGGACCTCGACAAATTGAGGGACGATGTATCTGATTTATCCAGCTCCTCACGTGTACCAACACGCGTCTCAGCTATTAACAAAAGACGTCCTATTGTTCAAGAGAGGAGATACAGAAGGTATACGCCACGGGGTACCCTATGGTTTTACCTGCTGGATCACGGAGAAGACATGACAAAGTGGGATGGAAAACCTACTTCAGCTTTGGAGGAACGGGTGAGTGAACTGAAGAGGGGAGCAAGGGCCAAGACTGATCGTCCCATGAGAGCTACGGCTTCAGTTTCTGGTGAGCAGTTTCCCAGATGGAGTGGAAGAGCTGATTTTACTCCAGCTCCTGTGATAACGAAGAATAATCCCTTTCAACACGACTTAAGTGTCCAATGCTGTGACGACCATTAGAGGGGCCCTGCCTCCAGCCAGGTGGAGGTAGGGGACAATCGGATTTACTGGACTGTGTGGATCAGATGGCCTGGCACATCAGTCCCACAGAAGTATAAGGCTCTAGTAGATACCGGTGCACAGTGTACCCTGATGCCATCAAGCTGTCAAGGGGTGGAACCCATCTATATTTCTGGAGTAACAGGAGGATCCCAAGAGTTGACTGTGCTGGAGGCTGAAATCAGCCTGACTGGGAGGGAGTGGCAAAAGCACCCTATTGTGACTGGTCCAGAGGCTCCATGCATCCTCGGCATAGACTACCTCAAGAGAGGGTACTTCAAAGACCCAAAAGGGTACCGGTGGGCTTTTGGTATTGCTGCTTTGGAGACTGAGGAAATTGAGCAGCTGTCCACCTTGCCTGGTCTCTCAGAAGATCCCTCTGCTGTGGGGTTGCTGAAAGTTGAAGAACAACAAGTGCCAATTGCGACCACAACAGTGCACCGGCGGCAATATCGCACCAACCGAGACTCCCTGATTCCCATCCATCAGCTGATCCGTAGACTGGAGAGTCA